CATCACAAATTATCTAAATGGAGCGCAAGTACGCGCCCCCAATGCTGTCGGGCTTTGGCTGTCTCAAGCAGTGAGCAAGGGTCTACAACCATTCAACTAGGCCTGCGTAACAGACTGTGTATGCATGAGGGGTAGTAGCCTGCTCGCCGTGAGAAGTTACCTATTAAGTGGAAGAAGATGTGGAGTACAAAGAAGGCCCAAAACCTAGTTTTACCCACCCCTTGGAGTAGTAAATCGCGCGCCGGTTTACAACAACGTCGACTTTGTATTTGGCACGTAGGAAGCCATGCATGGATTTATAGGTCTACCGAGGCATTGGATTGATGGAACAGAACACGAGCCTCCTTACAGACATGTATCATAACACATGCGCCGAATCTGACATGTACAACCCCAGTCATCGTGGCAGATTACCGGCGTGTGACGTGCCGATCACCAACGGGTGTACATGAGTAGATGCGAATTTGCACCGTACTGTACTCGGCAAGAGAGAGGCCGGCTGCGCCAGGTTCGAGCAAGTTCGCTGGTGGGCTGGCTCTAGGGTGAGGGCGAGTTCAACGGTTGGCTGGGGTCTCGACGCAGAGTCAAGCGGTCTGGGGTGCCCACTCTCGACGCCCAGCTATGCGATAACAGCGCCATTACTGCAGGAACAAAGTGATGTAATAAGTGGAGAGACAGATGTTTCCGTGTCACGACGGCCAAACTGACCCGGAGAAATCAAATTGAGTTAGACTAGGCTTGTGAGTTGCCGGCAACGCAGGCACTCCACTGGCCTGTCGCGACGCGCGAACGCGTCTGCTGCTCCGGATGCGACTGTGCCTGTGTGTATGTTTTGGTGAGCTTGCTGTCGCTGCTGTCTGCGGCGACGTGCTTTCAGTTTTCAAGTCGCGGACACTGCTTGGTCTCGTGATGCCCGACAAGGCTAGTAAGTAGAGGCTGGGAGGCTGCCAAGAAAACTGTTCCTTCCTCCGCTCTCAGCAACGCATAGTCCGCAAAGCGCGTCTGCGGTACGTGAAGTTATCGACCGCATTGGAAGCCACTCGTTTTCCGTCCTGCCCTGATGAGAAGATCATTTTAGCGTCGGTCTATTGTCGCGTGGTGTGTATTATCTCATCCTCCCTCCCTCCCTCTGTTGCGTGTCTGTTCTGGACCTCGTGCGAGTGCTGCTGCTAGAGTCGCGTCCATCTAAACATCAACATGCGTGCTGACCAAAGGCTAGCCAAGTCAAATCCAGGCACTCACGTACCCCCATCGCTCTCTCGCTCGTCTCTCCCTTTACGCGACTGTCCGTTCCCTCTCCCCGCCCTTCTCAGCCATTCGCGGCAGTAGCGCACCATCATGGACTTCCAGTCTCCCCAAAACGGAATGTACGATCCCTCGAGCTTCATCGACCCGAGCGCCATCGCAAACCCCCAGATGAACGGCGCGCGCCCATACAACCCTATGCCGTCGGTGCCCCAGAAACGAGATTCCACTGGCGCTGCCCTCTCGCTATCGCGCTCCCAGACACCTTCGCAGCAAGCCCAATTCGGCTTCCAACACCAACAAGCCTTCACCAACACGCCTTCCCCTACTATGCAAAGCCAGCACTTTGCGCCTGGCCAAATGGGAGGCCAGCGGATGAATACTGCCTCGCCCGCGCAAAACCCCCATGCGCCGCAGATGTCTCCCATGAACTTCCAGGCCTCGCCCATGAACCAGGCCTTCAACGCCGCCAACTCGGGAAACCAGTTCCCAGTGCAGTCAGTCCAACTGTCGCAAAACCTACAGAGTCGCCAACAAGAGGCGCAAAGACAATACGCGATGCGCCTGCAGCAGCAGCAGCAGTTGGGCAACCTTGCCGCGAGCAACATGGCCGCGCGCCAAGGACAACAACCGGGCGCGCAGATGCCCGGCGCAATGCAGAACCCTATGCAGCACCCAGGCATGCAGCAGAACATGATGCAGGCCCAGGGACAAACACAGAATCCGCAATCACAATACAACCAGTTCATTAAGAATGTCCAGGCACTAATGACCCAGCACAACCGGCCCTTCAATCACCAGCCCCTCTGCGCTGGCCGTCCGACAAATCTCCAGAACCTTTACGCGGCTGTTATGCGCTTCAAGGGTCACCGATTTGTGACGCAGCAAAATGGATGGCCCAGGATCGCGCAGATGATGAGCATACATCCGCAACAGTTCCCTAATGCTCCCAACGAATTGCGCCAGATATACGAACAATATCTGAGCCTCTACGAAACTGCTTACCTCCAAAGGCAGCAGCAAATGCAGCAGAAAGGCATGCCTCCGCAAGGACAGATGGGACAGATGGGGCAAATGGGTCAAATGGGGCAGATGGGATCTATGGGTCAGCAGATGTCGCCAACAAGACCGACTATGCCAGGGCAACCGGCCAACGTTCCAGGACACCAGGAGTATCTCCAGCAACTACAGAGATCGCAGGAGGCCATGAAGCAACAACAACAGCAGCAGCAACAACGGCAATCGCTTCCGCCGGCTCAGCAGCCACATCAGCAACTCGAGCCATCCCCACATCCACACCAGTCGACACCTCTGCAGAGTAACGCAGCGCTTCCAAGCGTTAATGGCAACACACCACAGCCCGACGGAAACGCGCGCAAAAGCCTCAGCAGACAGCTGGAAGGGACTCCCACTCAGGGACAAGAGCCTAGCCAGTCCCAGTCGTCACCGATGAAGCAGGAGGATAATGCCACCACCGACCCGGCAGCAGCTGCTGTAGAGGAGCCCGAGAAACGCAAGCCAGTAATCGAGCAAGATGATGGCACCCGGGTCTACCAACCCGCTTACCGAACGCAAGACACATGGGGAGGCCTCGACTTCGATTCCGACAATTTCAAGAACATGATCGACACGATTACAAACTACAAACCAAATGTGCCATTACTGCCGGAGATGGGTGTTATCGATGTTCGAGCTATCAACATGAGCATCAAATCGGGACTCCATGCGGAGGTGCGACTGGGGCTGGACACCCTCACGCGTATAACTTACGATAACACCGTACAATTCAATTTGTCGCACTGCGAAGATCTCACCGAGGTGTTGGTGGAGTACGCGGAAGATCAATTGGAAATACTAGGGAACGATAATCCCGAAGTCACTGACATTATCGATCTCACACCATACGAGGACGTTCTGCACCACTGTCGCGAGGAGGCTTCAGCACTACAAGAGCTCCCACAGGCTGGTTCGAAGGAGTACATGCTCGATCGCACTGCGGATCGATTGCTCGCAATCACAACCATTTTCCGAAACCTGTCCTTCCTGGAGGTTAACCACGACTCCCTGGTCAGTCCTCCTGTCATCAAATTCCTTGCAAACTTCATACGGCTTGTTGGGACCCGCGTACTATTACTACGATCGCATATCAACACCTTCGACTTCATGAAAGATGTCGTTACTTTCTTCTCCAACACCAGCGCCAAGGTTGTTTTACCCAACCGCGAAGATGCCTACGCTGTGTTGCATTTCCTATGCGCTTTTGCACCAGTTCCACGACCCGCTGAGCCTGTTAAGTTTACGCCTTTCAACCCGCAAATCCACCGCTATCTCCCCTCTGCTGTTGACAGTCTTGCAAAACTCCTCGCTCGCGACGATCCCAACAGGACGTACTATAAGCAAATCTTCGTCAATGAGGCAACATCCACCCCTGCATATGACCTTCTGACGCGTTCCTTCGCTCTTGCCATCTCCGTTGTGCCGGACCGCAACTACATCGAAAACAAAATGTACCAGATGAAAGAGCCACGCCCCAAGGAAGTACGCATGTTCGAAGCGCGCGTTGCGGAGTCAAGAAAAGCATACCTTATGCAGGGCATGCTAGCTGCAGACATACTCGCTAGTTTAGCCCCAGGGCCTGAAACTGGCATCTGTCGCTCATGGCTTGAGTCAGAGGATGGTTGGGCGCATAGCCTACTGAAGTTTGCAATGTCGCTTTCCGCTACCGATGCAGCCATCCCACACCCCCCACAACCGCCAAATCACCGCGGTCAGCGACCTATGGACCATGACCGGGAAGGCTTCCAGCTCATCGTCCACCGTGCGCTGTCGACTCTCAAACGTTTAGGCGACAAATCGAAGGGTGGCGAGCCCCTGGTCAAGGGCGTGCAACAACCAAATGGGCACGTGAACCACGACGACGAAGAGGAATATGACGACGACGATATGGAGATCTTCAACTTCAACGGTAGCTCGTGGAAAGTCAAGGCGGATATACTACCTCGAAAGGAGACGTTGCTCGGCGCACTCTTGACCGCACAATTGGACGTGCGGAGCCTGAACCAGTTTTGCAAGATTGGCTATCTGGACGAATAATGGAACGTGTAGGATAAGCGGGATGGGATGGGATGAGGTGTCTAGGCGAACATAGGATGTGTATAACGGCGGAGTGGAAACTGTTATCATTTTTGAGTGCTGTAGCATTGCGAGAGAGTTCACATGGTTTTGCTTCAGTCTTCTCGCCGTCTGTACCAAACTCTTTTTCATCTTCTTGTATAGACAATGTATGAGACTGTATGTGTAACACCATGTACAGTTTCGCTCCCAAAGCCGTGTGCTCTGCTCCAACAATCTCCAACAACAGTGAACATGAGAGGCAGAAGACTGTTTTTATTCTTCCATCTGGACCAAGGATGTTGTACAAATTACTATGCTTGGAAGAAGCAACAGCCAGGGCCACACAACTGGGTAGTCTGTACCCATGAATAAATAAACACCATCAGAGCCATCCAGGCTCGAAAATCCCAAAGTTGTTTTTGACTGATACTTCCCGTATCATGAGAAAGCTATTCCACCAACGCCATGCTATGCATTAAGAAAAAGACTTCAAACCCTTCACATTGAGACACGTAGCGCGTCAGTGTCTCGCTCCACCATTACCTCTTGGCATGCTTGTACAACCGTACAAACTCAGTCAAGATACGTAGCGGCTATTAAACCTCGTTGATGTCATCCTTTTTCTCCCACAGCGGTTATTTCTAAGACGGTGAACCAGCGAAAGAAGGGGTAGCGGGAACAACAGTAGCGGGAGATGCAGCACTTGCATTTGCGTCCCTGAACGTGTCGTTTTGCTTCCTTTGGCCGTTGAGGAGCGGGCAGAGCCTATTGGGGATTGTGTTAGCGGATTCGTTCAATAAAGAGTGAATCTTGACGACTTACTTTTTGTTTGTCTTGATGTGGCCCACCTCGCCGCAGTTTGCACACTTGCGAGGTGTTGCTCCACCCTTTCCTGGCCCACCAGTCGCTCCACCTTCTCCCGTCTGCGACTTGTGCAATCCTTTTGCCTTTTCACGGCCTTCACGACGCTCTATGTTGCGAGCTAGACGCGCCAATTCCGCCTTCAGCTTGATCTTTTGTGCCTTGTCCACTTCAGGATCACCAGTTGGCTTGATGTCTTCAATGCGCATGTTGAGTAGACGCTCTTGTCGCTTGTGCTTAATGTAAAGCTGGATGACAGCAGGGTCGGTGATTATCTCAGTGACATCTTCGAACTCGTCGTACTTGTTCTTGATAGTACGAGTAATCTTGAGCTTCTTGCCACGGTTGTCCGCATTACTATTGCGAGACATCTGGGACATGGTCTCATCATCAGGACGCATAGCTGGAGTACCTACTTCGGAACGTTGGCGACTGTGGTTTGTTTGGTTGACAGCAGAGTCAACGTCGTCTTCGGTGTCGGACGGTGGGTTTTGGGCAGACAAACTCTCCTTCTGCTTGTTCCAGATACGCTTGATGGCATTCTCGTACATGACCTGCTGGCGCTGAACGTTGTAGCTGTGACCGCCAAGCTCTTTCATCTTCTTGTTATCAAGACGATCAGCTGCGCTCTCACCGACATCCCTGAAACCACCCTTCATCGAGACCTTGATGAAGCTGAAACCTAGGCCTTGACCAGTAGGATCACCGTCACCGTGGAGCTCCAACATAGCCTTGCCAGCGCAGGCGTTGAGGAAGTTCTTCGTTGTGTTCCAGGGCGCAAGTTTGACATCAGCGTTCTCGTTATCAGCCTCTTCCTCGTCATCACGGATTTCGTTGGATTTGATACCGGCGTCTTGCAGCTGTTTGTCACCAGCATGCATCGAGTCGATCAGACAGACGTCTTCTGGCTTGATCCAAGTACGTAGGATCGGTTCCTCAGGTACAGTCTCGCCTGGTACCGGCTCCCAAGTACCAATGTCCTTCTGATACTTCATGATTTCTCGCATTCGGGAACGATTCTGCGCAATCTCGGTACCAGGCAAATGCTGCTTGATCATCTCGTTACTAACCCAAGGCTGACGCGCATTCTTCTGCTGCCCCTTCCGGTACAATCGGAATGCAAGCATCTTGAGTCGCTTCTTCGAGGCTTCAGTAACTTTGCGAGCATGTGTACCAGGCACCTCAACAGAGGGAAACTGTTGGCCGACGACCATGAGGTTCGGAATGTTTCGCATGTAGTACCTGGGGCCATTAACCCCGGTCCAACTTCTGCTCACAAGGAAATCAGTCTGTTCGGGCTTATGCTTGAACACAGGAGCTCGGTACATGGCGTTGTGAAGCGTCAGCACTTGCTGGCCCGGTTCAACCTGACCGAACAACGAGAACGGACTCTTATCCTGTGGTAGCAGCACTGAGGTCTCGCCGATTCCGTCTTCCGGTTTCGGTCGTGCAGTGTCTTCCATGTCCTTTCGGCGGTAGTAGTTGAGGATCTTGACACCCATACCAAAGTTGGACAGGGTAGTGGGGTACTCCTCAGAGTACTCGGCAAGAAGCAGGTCGGAATTGTCACCAATGTTGAGATCTTCGGCTGACGCGAAGGCCTCGGAGGGCTTGAGGTTTTTCTTGTGCTTCCTTTTGACGGACTTGAGCGGTGTGATGCTAGCTCGTTCTCCAGGCTTGAAGGTAACAGTAGGACGATGGAAGGAACGGAGCTCGCGATCCGACAGCGCAACCTTGTAGAAGGGATATTGCAACTTCAGTGCGGGCAAGCTGTGCTCAACATTCATGTGGCCAATCGTACTACGGACCTTCTGCTGGCTGCTTTCCTTCAGAGCGTCATATGCCTCATCATTGGAGATGTTGTAACGCTTGAACATGGGGTTTGCCAGGCTTCCGCGGCTATCACGCTTAAGACCTAGGCCTAATGTTCGAGGTTTTGGTGGCTCTGCACTGGGCTGCTGTACATCAAGCAGAAGATGTGGGTCGTTCATGTCGAGAAGAATCTTCTTCGACAATCGCGCCGTCTCGAGCTCGGGATCGTCCCATGTGGGCAGCTCCATGTGATCGTAGACAGAGAAGTGAATAGGCTGGTCACGGCTTCCGAGTCTCCGCTTCTTGTTTGGCGACAGTTGCTCAGAGTCGATACCGCCGTTGCTGTCGGGCGGCGTTGGTGCCTGGTTCTCGTCGGACAAGGTTATATCGCTTGCACCATCTGGCACATCCCAGTCTTCGCAGGCAATCCTCAGGTCACTCCACGACACATTGCCGATCATCTCACGGTCGTCAATGGTATCGAGGTTATCGAGTTCCAGCTGATCTTCGCTATCGCCGTCCTCTTCTGCAGTGTTGGTGATTTGAATTAGACCGCCCTGCTCCTCATCTTGCTGTCTACCCGATTTAGCGGTAGTCGTTGTAGGCTGTAAGCGGAAACTTTTCTCTTGATCCGTCGCAAGGTCCAGGGTGAGCTTATTAAGCTGGAAGGGTTTCGGCGTCTTTTGAGGAACTTTGGGGATGTAAAAAGCACGCTTTCGTGGTACCAGACTGAAGAACCGTGGTGGTTTGTCCGCCTCGAAATTGGGCCAGATCTTTTCAAATTCTTCCCGTGATGTCTTGACTGGAGCAGCCGCTGGCTCGTCTTTCTTGCGCGAAGATTGTGCGAATAGAGCCAGTTGCTCGCGCACCTCGGGGTCCTCCTCTTCTTCCTCCTCTATCTCTTGCTGTGCAGCACCAGCAGCGGTGTTGCGAGTAGCGGGCTGTGGCGTATCCTTTGCGATAGTGTCGAAGCCTTCTTGGACCAAGTCTTCGATGGAAGTAAGAGGATCGTCTTCGTGTTGTGTAGATGTTTGCACCGGGTCAGAGTGACTGGGGTCATCGCCGAAGAGATCATCGTTATCGTCGTTGTCATCGTTGTTGTCGCCAAAAAGATCGTCCATGTCTACATCTTCGTTGTCCACTGCGCCGCCAGAGTCCTGTAGGGTAGTTCCGCTGAAGTTCTGGGTGCTATCGGCGCCCTCGCCCGAGTCAAACTCCTCGTCCGGCAGGTCGTCGTCGCTGATGTCTTCGTAGTCGACTGCGTCGTCGGCCTTCTCACCAATGTCCAGCGGCCTATCGGCGATGCCACCCAAGAGATCTTCTTCGCCCTCTGCAGCACCCCGTGACATCTGTTGCATGATCTTGCGAAAGTCATCCTCATCCTGGTCTATGCTGGCGTCACCACCGCCGCCGTTCGGGGGCGGGTTCTCGTCGGACATGGTCGCGTGTAGTGTGGCGGTAGCTGAGCAGCGGGATAAATGCGTTGAACGAGTTGGAGTCAAGTCCAGGTATTAATATAGGCGTTTGTTTCAACGGCGGAGTGTGAGAGCGCGCCGGGGGGCGGAAGAACGGTTGAGGGGTGCGCGCGCCGTCATTCACGCTATCACCGCGCTCGAAATCTGGTGAAGCGCTCCCGATATAGGCGACGTGTTCGCGTGCGTTCTTCGATGGCGTCGCCGGCGCGTTCTTCGGTCGTGTGGGGGCGGTTGGTGTCGATATAGCCAAATGGCTCGCTGTCGTGTAGAAGTGATGGAATCAGTCGCGGTTCAAAGCCGCGGCGAGTTGGCCCGTGCGTCAGGCTAAAACTAATGAAAGAGAGGGCGAGCATCACCGCCTCACACGATAGAATGAATACACGAACACGATTTGATACACCAAAAAGTATGATAAGCTCACGGCAGGCGGGTGTGTTTTCATGCACACATTTTAGGTCCTCCTCATGTTGGCTCCGACAGACTTTCCGTGTTGCTGTTTGACAGTGCAGGCTACCCCGTCATCTCCAACTCATATCTCATCCTGTTCAATCAAGTCCTCCTTCATTTCAACGTCTTCTCCTTCCCCGTCTTCAGTCGCATCTCTTTCTCCATTTTCGTCCTCGTCAGTAGCCATGTCCGGTGCAGCCGTGCCCCAGATGCGAGCACGAGCCCTCGTGTACTCCTTCTTGACCGTGGGCTCACCCAGGGACCATCCACGCTCGTTGTCGAGCCTCGTGCGGATGTCCTTGAACGACATCTTATCAGCGTCGTGCCAAACAACGATACAAGCCTTGTCGAACTCATGGCCCTGGTGGTTCCGTTTCTCGCGTTGTGCCTGATTCGTAGCTTTGGCCAGGCTACCCTTTGGAGGAGACGGAAATGTAGGAGCCAAATTATCTTCAGGGGCGGAGACATCGCTTTCAATTTGCTCTTCAGATGGAGAAGCAGCGTCGGAAGGATCATTCTCGGGCTCGATACCACTCAGACGTGGTGCACGCGGCCTACCACGCCTTGCGATATTCTTGCCGACTATGCCAATCTGCGCCACAGGCTTTGCACCGTAGCGCTTCTGAAGCCGCTCCAAAGATCTAATGTGACGACGACGTACAGCTTCATCAGTCACCTTATCATTTGGAAACGTTTCGTTGTACAGCTCAGTCGTTTTCGCATATGTGTGCTCCAGATCATCCAGCCAGTAAATAATCATGCTGTTCTGATGATCTTCTGTGTCACCAAAGGGAAAAGTACCAAAGACAGGTGCGGGAGGAACTTGGCCAGGAACTTGACCGGGACGAGGAGGCATATTAATAGCCTTGATGCTGTTGTAGGTTAGACCCAGCTCCTGAGAGGACCGGACTTGACGCTTTGCTCGACCGCCCTTCTTTTCATCTGCTGCGCGCTTCTTGCCTTGTGATTAATCCTTCTTGGTCACGGCGCGGGGATCTTTCGACCGGGCAACAAAGTTCTGGGCATCCCTGTCTGCACGCCCGGCCTTGGTCGATGATACTGACCCTGTGGTAATACCTTCACTGGAATCAGCCATTGATGTGGAAATGCTTGATTCGCACGATGCAGATGCTCCCTTCTCGGTAGTTGGGCTGGTCTGGGTAGATCTGGTGTTTCGGAGATTTCGATCTTCCATTGCCTGGTTTTTGTCCTTCTTAACACGAGCGTTTTTGGGCGTCTTCTCTGGCGTGTATGTAGCGGCGTTGATCTTTTCTGCGCTGCTGGTGTATTCGTCTGAGCGTCTTCTCAACAAGTCAGAGTCGGCGCCTATATGTAAGTACACAAAGTTATTCCATGTCCGATATGCAGTTCGTATAGGGACATTACTGACCAGTGACGAAGGACATGATGGTGTCGTGAGCTGGAGACATGCTAACTTACTCGGGGTGAAATGATATTGAAGGGTGGTTAGATTGTTGGGTTGTTGTAGTGGCGTATAGGGTGCGATACTCGACCAACCTAGTAGCTGTCGAAGGTGGGTTGCAGGTCTGGGGTGAGTAGAGGCAGGGGGTGGGTATGTGGGTATGGGTGCGTAAGCTTGTAATTGGTAGTGCCTGTGTTTGTCTGCTCAAGTAGGTTAGTGAGAAAGGCCAGGACCAAGAGGTGGAAAGTAACGAGTGGCGAGTCTGTGTAAGTCAGAAAACCATAACAACATAGGAGTCGGGAAGTTCTGTTGTTGGGTAGAGAGGCGCTATGACGGTTCGTCCAGGAGCATGACCGATGAATGTGGCAGGGAAAGTGAAAACAGACTCCTGATACTGATCTCACTCAAAGAGTCGAAAGGACCTAACGGATAGAGGAAAGCTAATTTGGACTGTACGATTGCAATCGTTCCATCGAGGGAAATCATGTTGTTGTAGATATGGAAACGTCCAACATTGCATTCATTCAGTACTAGACTACACGTATCTGAGCGTGGTATCATGTTTTCATCCCAACCCAACCCGCTCTATACTAAATGCATGCCCATGGGTTCTCCAGCGCCAAACACCAAACACAAGAGCCATCGTTACCCATCATCAACTAATCAAGCCCGTCCGGTGATATAGTCTTTGTTTTCAATCGTAACACTCTTCGTCTGCTTGTAGTCAGTAACTGATGCTTAACCCATTTGATGTGTACCAATGTGAACTTACCATATGATTAACCTTGTAAACGCCCACCAACCGCGACGCAAGCTCGAACATGTTGTTTCTGAGTGAGATGACAATGAACTGAGCATTCTTCGTCCTCTCTTTGATGTAACTCGCCACGATGCTCACGTTTCGGAAGTCCAGGGCTGCGTCAATCTCATCCATGACATACAATGGCGTAGGCTTGTAGTGATGTAGAGCAAATACCAAAGCCAGAGAACTCAACGTCTTCTCACCACCAGACAAGTTGCTGATGTTCTTCCATGACTTTTTCGGAGGCATGACGGAGAAGCGAATGCCCTCGGAAAAGGCGTCAAGTGTATCCTCATATTCCAGTTCGGCGTTACCACCCATGGTGATCATCTGGTACATCTCCTTAAGGCGGGCAGTGATGATGTCAAACCCAGCCTTGAAACCTTCCTTGCGGAGACGTCGGAGCTCTTCGCATTTATGCTTTGCTGCGTCACGGGCGCTGACAGCAGAGGCGAGATCTGTGGAGCGTGCGGCGTGCTCTTCGACACGCTTGCGATATTCGGCGAGGACAGCTAGGTCGACTTGTGTGGATTCGTTCTTCTTCTCCAAGTGGGCGATTTGGTCTTTGAGGGTGGCCTTGTCCATGTCTTGAAGCTCGTCTTTACTGTAAGATGGAAGGCCCTGACCTTCACCCTCCTGCTCTTCGCCCAGGTCGGTAACGCTCTGGTACGAGAGCTTGCTCAGCTTGTCATGGAAGTAGGCTTGTTTCTTCTGGTACTCATTCAAAGTCTTCTGGCTCTCTTCGAGCTTGTTGCGCATTTCGATTTCGACTGCACGTGTCTCGTTGAGTTCCGCCAACTTCTCGTCAAGATCCTTCTTGACTAGCTGCAGCTCCTCTTTCCTGGTCTCAAGCTCTTCTTGCGCCTCTTCAGCTTGTTGTCGAATTCCGGAAACATCGCGTTGTTGCGAAGCCATGTCCTCTTCAACCTTCTCTGCATCGATGGCGAGCTTTTCCAGCTCCTTGATAGCATCGTTGTGCGCCTTCTCGTGCTTAGCACGCTGCTTCTCTTCTTTTGACTTGGCGACCTGGGCATTTGATACTTGCTCGGTCAGAGTGTCGATCTGCCCTTTCAGACCATCGACCTTGGCCTTCTGACCTCGTAGCTTGACTCCACCAATCTCCATAATCTTGTCCTGAAGACCCTTGATCTCGGCTTCGATGTCTTCAGTCTCGGCACGGAGCTTAGCGACCTCCTTCTCCATTGAGGCAATGTTCTTTTCCAGTGATGCGATGCGTCCCTTGTCAGTCTTTGTGGATGTCTGTTCATTGCCCAACTCCGCGATGCGACGTTGACAATCTGCAATATTACGATCGAAGCTCTCCAGTTCAAGCGCAAGTTTTTGCGACTTGGTATCCAATTCAGGTATTTGCTGATTGAGATCTCTCAGCGCAGTCTCAAGCTCCCGCAGCTCTTGCTGGAACTCGGCGAAAGTCTGTTCGAGCGCGTCCCGATCATGCTCAAGCTTTGTAACCTGGTCTTTTGAGACATCAGACGCAAGCTTGGAGGACATCTTTCCCTTGACCACTCTGCTTCCACCACCACTCATGGTACCCGCGGTGTCGATAAGCTTGCCGTCTAGAGTGACGACTCGCCATCGCTTTGCGCCATACGCGATACGCTCAGCTTGATCGAGATTCTCAGCTACGAGTGTATTTGTCATGACCTGGAAGAATGCGGGCTTGAGCTTTTCGTGCTTAGGCTTAACAAGATCAAAAAGACGCGGCACGTTTTCGGGTGTTTGAACTGGGGACATGTCACGCTTCGCGAGGCGGTCCAGAAGAATGAAGTTGGCGCGACCGAGGTTGTTCTTCCGCAGGTACTCAATGCACTGCTGACCAGACTCCACAGTGTCTACAACCATGTTGTCCAGCTGTGGACAGGCTGTAGAGATAGCAACATCGTACTTCTGGTCGATGGTACCAAGGTTTCCGAGTCGACCGTGGAAGCCATCGATACGTCCTGATTCTTTCAGGCGCATGAGGCCTGTCAGAACGTTGCCCTGGGTCTGAGCCGAAGAAAGGCTCGCACGAGCTTCATCCGCCTTGGCCCTTGCGCCAGAAAGCTTCGATCTCAGCATTGGCTCTTGCTGAGTTATCTCCTCAAGCTTAGCCTGTGTCTTCCGAACCTCCTTTTCGACACGCTTCCTTTCGACTTTGCATTCGTCAAGCTCGGCAGCCTTGGTCTGTTTCGCTTCTTCCAAGCTTTCAATCTTTGCCTCAACTTCGGCGATGCCCTTTGCGCCAGCATTCTCACGCTCACGCATAATGTCCAATTCACTCTGTGCGACTGCAATAGCCGATTGTTTTTCGTTAATCTTGGCACTCCAAGGTTCCAAAGACTTCTGCTTTGCCGCGATCTCATCCGAGAGACCCTGAGTTTTACCGGCCAAGCTCTTGCGAACAACTTCGAGTTCCTTCGCTTCGACCTCCATGCTCTGCTCAAGCTCAGCAATCTCCTCGTTGTAGCGCTCGACATCCGCGGAATACTGCTTCGCAAGACTCTCCGCTTCAGAACGACCATAGCCACTTGTCTCTTTGGTCTTTTCTAGCTTCTTCTGCTTGCCAGCCAGAAACTTCTTCTTCTCTTCAAATTTGACCGTCTCCTTGTCGACACGGGCCACTTCTTTCTGGTACTCCTGGTTTCTCTTCTCGAGTTGATCGCACTCTTTCACGCCCTTCTTGTATCGTTGCTCCAGTTCCTTGATCTCTTCTTCGCTTCCCTGGTGTTTTTGTAACTCGTCGTCCAATTGCGCCTGGAGCTGACCGACGGACTCTTGTGCGACTTGAATGTGATCATCGAATTCGGAGACATAGATCTGGTAGAGGGTGGATTGCTTTGAGGCCAGCTCATTCTCGTCACGAATGTAGGCAAGCGCCTTGTTCTTCTTCTCTTCCAGTCCGCTCTTCTCCTTTTCGACGTGCTGCACACGGCTGCTTTTTTCCCGACATACTTCATTCAGGTTCTCCACTTCGACCTCAGACTCAGCGATAGGTGTCTTGTACTTGGACGTGCCGATAATATCTTCGAGGTACTCAAGCAGACCATCGTCGTGTTCGCCCTGTGCTTTTGGCTTCATCTGCGCGATCGACTCAACCTCACCCTGCAAGATCAAGAAGCGCTTATGATCGAGATCCACACCCCGGTCTTTGAGCAAGTTGGTGACAATGGTAAACGTAGACTCCTTCTTGTTGATGTAGTATTTGCTCGAGTTGTTCTTGAATGCTCTGCGGGAAATTACGAGCTGCGAGTCAGGGATGACTTCGTGGCCACCGTTTGCAAGGTCTTTGACTTCTTGGAAGTGGACTTCGACTTCACAATAATCCAGATCTGGGAAGGCGGCCGAGTTGTGGATGAGGGCGGAAAGCTTGCTCTGACGCATCTTGCTTGCGCGGAAACCAAAGACGAACAGGAGCGAGTCGATGACGTTTGACTTTCCGGAACCGTTGGGACCCACGACGGAGGAGAAGGAGGCGTGGAAGGGCCCAACCTCCTGCCGACCAGCATAACTCTTGAAGTTGTTGAGGACAAGCCAGGTGATGACTGTCCGCTGCTTGGGCGCCACTGGCTCGTGCAGCGCTGGAATGGCAGCCGCTCGTCTCTTGACCACGATATCTATGGGCTCAAGCATGGTTTGCTGTGTGCTGAGTTCCTCGGCGACCTTGGCCGGCGGCTGGGGCTCTGGTAATGAATCGACCTCCATCTTTGGCTCTGGTACCGGTGTCTCCTCTTTCGCTTCTATCTGTGTAACCTCAGCGACTGGCTCGGGCGCGGGTTCTGGCTCGGGTGCCGGCTCTGGCGTTCGATCGGTCATTGTAACGTCGCTCGCCGCATCGTTGGCGATATCATCCGCCGTGTCGTCTGCAGCACCAGCGAGTGGTGAGCTTGGTGTAATCGTGGCTTCGGAGGCCTGCTCGACTTCAGGCTCGGGAGATATCGAGGGCTCCGGCGTGAGCAAATGGGAATCCTCCTCGACGGGTGCTGGGGCAACAGAGGAACGGGGCTTCCTTCCACGCTTCTTGGGCACTGCCTTGGAGGGTGAAGCCACCCTCGTGGTCCTCTCTGTCGCGGGGGTCAGCGTCTGCGTGGGCTCGACCGACTCAGTGACACGAGTGCGCCGCCTCGTTGTGGGTTTGGGTGTCGCTTCTTCATTCTGGGCTGCAGTCTTCCGTGGCCTTCCCCGCCCCCGGCCCGTCTTGAGCGGTGCTGGTGCTGGTGTGAAATCCTCCTCGTCTGCCTCCTGCTTGACTTCGGGTGTCGGTGTCCTGTTTTCCTCGTGGTCCGAATCGTCGACAACGGGTGCCTTTCGGCGCGTCGCAGCGGCGCGCGTAGACTTCCTCGGGGAGATTGAAGCCATGGCTTGTCGCTATGACTGTGGGTTCGCCGTGGTGGGAGGCCGTTTGCGCGGAGTGCCCTTGTGCGACCTGACGCTTCCCTAGCCTTAACGGACAAAAGCGTAAACAAACACCCGTGCACGTGTCAGCCCCGCGCGCCCCACTTGTCCCTGAGCCCTCAACTGTTAGACTAGATGGGGTGTCCAGACAGAATCTACCGCACAATGTAGAACTGGCCCGCGTCCTAATTTCGTCTCTAGTCTATCGAGGACGTGTAGGCTCCATGTGTTTTCCCCCAGCTCTTGACCGGGACTTCGAGGCTACACTTGGATGCTGATACCATATGCGGTGCCGTGCATCTGCAATAACTGTAGCCCCGCCTCAAACACCAGCCTGAGCACTCTTGCATCATCGTGACTCTCAGCGTACTCAGTTACATACTCACCGTCTCCAAAAAAAGAAAGAGGGTTGAGAACCGCATCTTCCATACCTAGGTAGTCGCCGTCTCCTCCTAGCGCCATCATGGCAGCAACTCTACACAAGTTCAAGCTCGTATTCTTCGTTCCTCCTTCTGCCGTCAATGCCTGTAAGGCTGCTATCTTCGGTGCCGGTGCGGGACGTTTCCCAGGCCCAGCCGGGTACACCGAGTGCTGCTTTACTAGCAGAGGAACAGGACAGTTCAGACCAGGCGATGCTGCCAATCCACATGTAGGTCTATATCCATATTAATCATGTCTCAGGTAAAGCTGAAGTTATAATCAACATTCCGCAACTGACACTGATTATATAGATTGGCAAAGTTGGTGAATTGGAAGAAGTAGATGAGTATAGAATCGAGGCTATATGTATGGGGCGTGATACCGCTGTCAAAGCTGTGGAAGCGCTGAAGAAGTGGGTTTGTCCTTCCTTGGTATCAAACAAGCATCATTAATGGACACAGGGCACATCCATACGAAGAACCCGCATACGAAGTATACAAGATGGAGGATATGTAAAAAACTTATATCCCTATGATGGTTCGGCAAACGGTCAGCTAGTGCGGCTATTTACTCTCTTTCCCCAATACTACATCTTGCAACACTTGCTTGATGATGGGCAAATCCCTCTTAACATCTGTCATCCAATTTGAGACTGCGAACCTACACGCTGGCTTTCCATCCCACGCTGTACCTGATACATATATCTTCCTCGTGGCCTTGATTTTATTGACCAGCTGTTTGTTCAATTCTTCGTCTACTGCACGAAACAGTACGATGATATAAATTCCCTTCAAGATATCTTCATGGCAAGCACTGCTCTTAGGTAGGAGCTCATATCCATCGCTTTCCAGGATGTATCTTGCGATTCCTCGTGAGAGATCTACCTGCCGTTCCAACATCGTACGATAACCCTCTCTACCATACGCAACAAGATTGGCGTAGACTGGTAACGCCCTGAAGCGCCGGGAGTTCTCGAGTCCGATGTTAAGTGGTGACATGATGGCGTTCGCATCGTTCCCAGAAGCCAGGTATGCAGCGTTGGGATTTTGGAATACGCGTTCAGCGATATTACGGTGCCGAGAGAGAAAGAAGCCACAGTCATATGGTACATTGAGCAGCTTGTGTGCATCGCCTGTGATTGAGTCTGCAAGGTTGAGCCCTCCACAAGCCTGGGCGATCGAAGAGTAAGTCGGTGATGTCAACAGGCGGCCGAAGAGCCCAAATGCGCCATCGACATGTATCCACGCCCCATACACTACATGTTGGTGTGCGCAGTCAGTGGTTATTTGACGTGTAGTTCGTACAAGGATATAACTTACTATCGCACAGCTTTCGTATCTCTTCCATCTCTTCTAGCCCTGAGGTTGCGAAGACTCCCGTGTTAACTTCCGATGCAGAGACGGCAACGATAGACGCTGCACCAGGCTGCTCGAGTGATTTCTTGAGCAGCTGCATGTCAAACTTGTGTGGTGCTTCTGACTGCCCCAGACACTTGACACTCGTCCGCCCAAGGCCTAGTATGCCCGCCGCTTTTCCTAGCGATGAGTGCGGTACCGTAGTCAATATTTGAATATCGTCAATCCCGGCACTCCGCATAGCTTCAACAATACCAAGCTCACCAACGCTAATCTCTGCATCTGTACGGTGCGCTGAGGCCTCAGCAATCACGTACTCTCGTCCGCATGCCAAACCTAGGATGTTCGCTGATGTCGCGCCCGTAGTGAATATGCGATGCGGCCATTGCTCTGGTTCGAAGTCGAGCAATTCACAGAGTAGAGAAAGGGCTCGGTCCTCTACGTCGGTGGCGATGGTCTCATTTGGCAGATGGACTTGTACGTTCTGGTCGTATGCTGAGACCAGATTGTCGGCAAGGAGTGCTGCTGGTGTCGTGCCACCTGTCACAAAGCCGTAGTAATTTGGCGAGCGAGAAGAGCCATTGAATGCTGGAGCGAGGTCCTCTTGTAAGTGACGTATGCTCTCTTCGAGCCCGACACCTTGGCTGGGGAGGTGAGGCTGAAGCTTGGAGCGAGCGTCATTCAATGTAGTCGTGGACGGAAGGACATCAGCAGGCGGAGGGCCTGAGTGTATCTTTGCGATTGCAGCGGAGAGCCTTTGGAACAGCTCATTATCTGTAACCTCCATGATTGATGCTTGATGTATTACGTGATGAGAGTTGACTTCACGCAAGTAGGTAGATCGGTTTTGGTGATTGATTTGGTAGACAGAGTTATTGGCCGGAAGACTTTCTCAGTACGACGGAACGTATGACTCTACTCAGAGCCTAGGTTTTGAAGTAGTTAGGCCACCTAGAAGCGACTGGTGACTTCGCAACCTGCGCCATATTCGCGCGGATAGAGCTGGTTACTGTCGCAAACCAGATGGATGTAGCGCCCATATGAGTTATCGCCCGTGTGTTGGCGGGTCCGTGTAAAGAGCGGCATCTCTGACTGCAGAGCGGCAGGCCCACTCCAGAGAGCCAACGCTGTTCGGCATCTCAAGACCCTGCACGTGATTTGGTGCTAGCGCGGCGCGTTGCGGAGTTAGCACAACACGGTCGACGGCACCATCGATGACATCGCCACCATCTCGCCCGTAAAACCGCGACGCCTATGCAGATGCACGCGTAGAATATCCATGCGGACTCCCACACCAACGATGCGACGCTCTCATGCCTCGGAACAATCTTAGCAAACATCTCAAGTGGTTGATCGCCGAGAAGCCTTTCATTCCGCCCGCGATTTCGCCTGTTGTATACGATCCCGACGCAGTTCCGACGAGTTCAGCGACAACTCCACATCAGAACTCTTCATTTTTGGACGAAGACATAGAATACAATGAGCCTGAACCTGCCTCCGCGCCACCGCCCCCACCAGCACTGCCAGTCGCACGACCCGCTCCACCCCACGCTCTCGCTCGAATAAGAACCATCGACATACACAATCCGCCAGAGGCGGAAGACGTGGCCTCAGATATGGCAAGACTGAGAAACACACCAGCCAGTGGAAAGCCTAGACTGATTATAGCGGGGCTGCCTGAATATGCTTCCTCTTCGAACCCAACCAGCAGAGAGCGGAGGGAGCCTAGCGATGCAGGAGGTTCCAGGAGTAATCTGCAGGACTCCTCGGCGAGTGTGAGGAAGCTTACTGGTTCCACCGTGGAAAACACTCCCGCCTCTCAACACGCCGCTGCGAGGACGAAGTACCGCGAGCCAATTGATGTCGATTCAATCGACCTCACCGGAGACGATGCGGGCTGCTCTTCGCCGATTCCAATGCGCACGCAAAAGAGCAGAAAACGGAAGAGCGACGAGTATGAAGCGGACCTCCGTCACACCAAGTCCCCCAGGCCTGTTCGGAAGGCGCCCGCGCTCAGTCCAGAGCCTGACGACGACGACGACGACGACGATGACTTCCCGGACATCGATGATATGGTCATGGCTCCGGATAGCCCTCCCCCACCTTACTCGGCCATTGTAGATGGTGCAGGTAGACAATCAAAGCATATTGTAACAGCTGAAGATGACGATATGGAGGCCATGTTACAACTGGAAGAAGAGGAGCGACAGATGGCAGCTGCAGAAAATGCGACATCCTCACAGGCCCGTAAGCGCAAGTCACTGAGCCGCGTACCCTCTGAGATTGCACCCGCTCGAAAGATAGGGAGGCAAACACGTAGCCCTTCGCCCCGAAAGAACAATCCTGTCACGATCGAGAGCACAACTGGAAAGAATGGAGTTTCGCACACACCTGGCACTAAGAGAGTTGGGCATGCAGTTCTGGACTCCGAGGACGATGAATTCGGCGCACTGGACGAGATGGATTTCGACACACAGTCTCGGACCAAATCACCTATCCCAACGATGAAGAGAGTGCGTGAAAAGACACCAATGGCTGGCCCTGGCAGAGTTGCCAGTCAGACGCAGCTTCCTATACGGTCGCCTTCGAAGACCATACGAAGCCCAAGCCCATATCAGCCGGAAGAGATTTCCATACCTACCCCAGCAAAGTCTCAGTCCCCCAAAAAGATTGCTGAGTCTGCTCTTGTACCCGACAAACGCATACCAAGCTCTTCTGAACTATCCAAAGAAAAGAGAGATGCTATCAAAGAATCGATTGAAACCTTTCTGAGTACTGAAGGTCAAAGATTGCAAAAGCACGTCAAGGCTGCAAGCTCAGCATGGGACAGCGCACGGGCTGCATTCGTTGCACATCTGTCCGAATTTGGCAAGCCTGATCCTAGCGAACAGGAAAGGATGGAACGCGCTCGCTCGCGAAAGGACGCAGTAGAGCAATTGATCTCGTTGAAAACCAAACAGGATGAACTTACGGGACAACGTCAGAGGGTTAAGCAGAAGCTAGAGGATGACTTGAACATCGGTCAATTTGACGCAGCGGATGGTGAAACCCTCAGCAGACTGTTCAAGATAAATGAGGACATACAGATCCAGATGTTCTACTTGTTGGATTTAGCGGCCATCAAGCAGCAGTCAACGCCTCTTGTCAAAACAGAGTCGAAAAACAACCGCAACGTGGTCATACAATCAACTCAAGCAAGTCCGGCCCGACCGCCTCCCAAGGCTTCCAGGGATATAGGGTCGAATCGGATTCCACAGACACAGTATACTAAGCCAAGTGAGATTGGCGCTCAGGAAGTGTGGACGCCTACCCGCCGTATTCGTTTCGCTGAAGAGCAAGTAGCCGCGTCTCCGCTACCGCCACTGAATCTAGGGTCTCGTGCCTATGCAGACGACAGTGCATCAGGAAAGCAAAAAGGCAAGTCAAGAGAGCGATCTCATCGGGTACCCGAGACACCAGAGCGCCGACGATCCCCAAAGAAACCAAGACCGGCGGCTCCGCAGCGTACACCGGATGAGTTTGGTGAGCTTGATTTTGAAGAAGACGGAAGCTTGTTCGGCAATAACATGGGCGAGCCCCACCAGCCTATTGAGATAAACGACGATGATGATTTTGGCGAAGATTTTGGACCCGACGACGATGACGACTTCCTTCATGAGATTACCAATATCGAGAACCAGGCGCCGGGTGGGTTTGATTGGAAAGGCGAGCGTGCAGAAAGTCGCGTATCAACAAAATCTCGCGAGGTGTTCCGCGAAACTTCTACCAACCAAGTCCAATCTAAACCAAACCAGCAGGCTTCACCGAAGAAGCAGCAGCTAAACATGCCTGCCAAAAACCACCCTGGAATGAACTTCCCCTGGTCGCAGGATCTCAGGACCGCCCTTATTCGTCGTTTCGGCCTGCGAGGATTTCGCCCAGGACAGCTGGAAGCTATCAACACTACACTCTCGGGCGAACACTGCTTCGTGCTCATGCCTACGGGAGGTGGCAAATCGCTCTGCTACCAACTTCCATCAGTGATCGCTTCAGGCAAGACACGGGGAGTTACTATCGTAGTATCTCCACTCTTGAGTTTGATGGAGGATCAGGTGACGGCTTGCAAACAACGCTTCGGGATGCAAGCGTTTCTGATCAACGGAGAGTCTACCGCAGCACAAA